GATAAAGGTTTTGTTGTTGGGCTTATTTGACTGTGGCTGAAACTTTTTTAGCATAATTGAATTAATCTCATCAAAATATTATTATAGGTTGATTAAAATAGAAGTTCCGAAGATTATCAATTTAATTTAAAAATTTTTAGTTCAAATGTTCAATTGAAATTCATTTTTTTATATAATAAAAAATAATATATAATCAAATAATTTTTTTGGGACACTCTAATATTTCATTCAAGTTCCAACAAAAAACACCCCTTTAGCACTTAGGATAAAAAAATCATAACTATATAACGCATTAAAACTAAATTTCATTAGAGCGGTCTAGTGATGATTGGTTGAATAAATCACCACATGCCATAATAAACTTTATTTGATGCATATAATTATTTCTTTAATTTTTTTTCCAATTGTGGGCCATGTCACTATAATTTCATTAATCAAAATAATCATAAAGTTTGCACACTTAAGAGACTAAAAGGGAAAAAAAAAAAGGCAATAGAGAACCCGTAATATAAGAGATAAAAATTCATAAGAACAAACAAAACGTAGAATGTAATAAAGATTAAAAAAACAGCAACAAAGTGAACAAAATAACTCAGAGATTTCCATTCATTAATAATCATATTATATATTTATACCTGAGAAAATCAAATAAAAGATTCAAACTATCTTGAACATATAGTATATAAAAATGTTGCATAATCAATCCATATACAAAACATCTAGCTCACATTATAGCAAAGACAAACTATAGAATTATAAGAATTGAAAGCTAACTAAATTTTGCATTATATGTTCAAATATATCCATTAAGGTCAGCAAAGGTATGAAAACTTAAAAGATATACAATAAAGAAAACATATGTCTAACAAAATATCCACCCAGTGCCAAAAAATAAGTAATTAAGACCTGAACCAAAGTAGAATTGATCATAGATTGTGGCATCTCCAAGAAGAAAACTAAATAGTAAATGAAACTAATTTAAAATCATACAAAAATTGCCCAACAATAATAAATGGTTGCATCAATCCCCAAAAAAATAAATAAAATGCCATAACTGGAGAATTAAATTATTTGAAGTAGGTAATAGTAGTAGTAAAACCAATAATAGTCCCGAGAACACGTGAAACCTAGAAAGAACCTATAGCTGGTACAAGATAAACAAACAAAACAAATGCAAGAAAAATAGCAATTATGAAAACAAAAGTTTATTAACATCAGATGAAATGTAGCTAAAAAAACTTAGCATGAAGTTCTGCTTTAAATTTCCACTTAGTTTTTTATTGATATCAAAGTAGATTTCTCAATCAGTATATCAACTAGCATGCCTCATTCACAAAATATCATGTAATTTCTTTCAACACAGATATATTAAACTGTAATATGAGCAACAAGATGAAAAAAATATTTGTTATACAATAATTGTGGTAATCAACACATTTATTAACTTTCTAAGATTGTAACCAATGTGATATAAGTTATCATCTAGAATAGTTTTTGTCAATTCATGAAGTACACAATAAGTGAGAAAAATTTAGAATGAGATTTATTATAGTTGTTGCACAAAATATATCTAAACCTAATATATATCCCTTTATGAGACAAAATATTCTTGATTTTTCAGACCTTTAATATATATGAATTTAGAAACTTGCTAAATAAAATTATTTAAAATGGAAGGGCAAACACTCAATACCATTAGTTATGATATTGTTCACCTCAACAAGTTTTTGCAGTTAAATGCTTTTTAAAATAGTATCACCAAAGCCTTCATTAAGGACCTTAACCTAGTACTAAGGTTCATAGAAGAAGAAAAGCTTATAACCATTATAAATCTTGAAGGCCAACCAATTCTTAATTTTTTAAGCCACATCTAGTATAGATTTTCAAAGGGGGAAAGTTTTTCAATGAGGAGAACTTTTTATATTACCATAATTATTGAATAACCAATTGGAAAGATAAAATGAGTAGTAAAATGAATTTTTAAAATCATTTGAGCTTTGCTAAGAAATTAAAAAGAATCAAAAGAAGACAATCATGGGCCACTATGATCCAAAGAAAGGGTAATGGTAAACCAACAGATGATATGGATTTTATTGGTAGTTTTATTAAAATGTAAGAAATTGCTTATAAGTCTATATATTTTTTCTCCTAAAAAAATATTAGTAGGGTAAAATGAACAAAACTTTTATTTTAAATAATTTCAAATAATATAATATGCAACCTGAAATCTACAAAAAAGGGAGTAATTTTTGTCCTACTTGGCCATTTGTGTTATCTACCAAAAATTTTAAAACAATTAGCCATATTCAACTTGTTAAATATAATATTTATACCAAGATGATTCCAAGAGAGTTTATCCACTTTTTCCCCCAGAATTTTATAAATAACTTCTTTAATATCACTATTTACAATTTTAGAGAGGCTATTTGTAGTAATACTATCAACTTTTCTAAAAATTAGTTGATCATTAGCACATTAAATGAGAAATTGAGTAAATTTTTATTTTTGATACCAAAAAAAGTATTTCCAATCATAAAATCATTACAAAGCTTGGAGAAATAATTCATAATAAATGTGAAAAAGAATGAGAATAGAAGACAACCTTGTTTAAGCCCATATAAAGAAAAAAAATATATTTTCATTTTAGAATTGATGATAATAACAAAATAAACAACTAATGTGTATGCCATAATCTAATATAAGGATATGGAAACCCAAGATCCCTTTACCTCTTATATAAGAATTGACTAAATTTCGTTATTTCTCATATAATCATTGATAATATTTTCTCAAAAGTATGGTGAAATGAATTTTGGAGTAAAAGTATATTGTTATGATGTTAGAATTACATTCATATAAAAATACCAGAAAAAAAATACATCAAATATGTCATTAACATAAATAATGGATGACTAAGCTTGATGTATTAGCTAAGAAAACAATAGTTTGGGTCCATCAACAATGAGCTTTGCAATAATCCTATAAAATGTATTATAAAGACTTATGGGTTTATAATCAATGTAATAACATACTGCTAAACTCTATAGAGAAGGTTATCAATGAAAAACAACTAGTAAACAACCTCAAGGAAAGAAAAGCTTGTGATATTTCATGTATGACTCGTTTGAGCCTAGAGTCTTGTCCCAACCAATATGAAAATTAGTCACCTAAATGCCATCCTCAAATGTTGTAATCATCTAGAGATAAGAGATAACCAACATACAAAAGAGTTTTAAGAGCATTTGAAGTGCTCTCCCTATCTTCAACATCATTCTTATTTTAAGAAGATAAAAGCTTTTATGCTCACAAAAAAGTTGCATCAAAGATAATTTTTTTTTAGTTATGAGCATTTTTAAGAAAAGAGGAAAAAAAAAGAATCCCTTTCCAACTCAAAATAGAAGCTACTTTGCTCATTTTTAAGCTTAGTAATATTTTTAAAAAAATATGATTAAATGAGTATCATATACCTTTCAAAGCTGCATTTGAAACTTTGTTGTTGACTAAATGTTGGCCTTTTAGATGACAGACGTTACAAAACTAGACATATCATTTGCTTTGATAGGAGCGTATCTGCCCAGCTAAACAATCACTTCCTAACAAAACAGACATAATTACTTCACTAATGGGTTGCTTGCAATATCAAACGAAAAAATAGGACAAATTAAGTGCATGATTTCGTAGCTTTAATTTTTTTCCTCATTTATTTTTCTTAATGTATATTCAAATTTATTAAATTCAATTATTTAATGAATTTAATATATTTAACTTAAAAAGCAAGTTACAAGAGTAAATTTATGCCACATCATAAATAGATTTAATGAATTTAATCTTAAATTGAACTAAAAATTATTTTGAATTTACAACATTTAAATTTGATAAATTTAAATTTATGGAATTTACTAAATCCTATTTCTAAATTTGATAGATAATCAAACACCCCATAAAATTTTCCAGGATATTTTTTTTCACCTCTTACTAAACCTTTTATTGGGACAATGGATGCGATACATTTTGGCGTGAAAAAAATTTTTTTCTCCCTAAAGAATATGAATGCAGAGCTGCGTCTGGTCTCCAGACACAATAATTTTTCCTTTTGTTGAGATGAAGAAACCAAAACTAATTTATTTTGTAGCTCAACTCTTTCAAGGGGTCATGATACATTCACCAATTTTTTCATTAGAAATTGCTTAAAAATTTTGATATCATTTTTATTATAATTAAAGCACGTAAAATAGAAAATTAAAAAAATCTAAGGTGTATTAAAAATTATTAAATTATTAAATTATTAAATATTTTCATATATTATACTATGTTATAAGAAAATCAATACAATGCCAATTTTTTAAGGCATTTATTTCGGCTACATTTTAACCATCCGATTCCATGGACGGGTTGATCAAACTCAAAACCATTTATACATATAATTGGAATTGAACCAACAAACCAATCCAATCTATAAAGAACCAACAAGCATCATATTATTTAATTTTAGCCATATATTTTTAATAAGATGGCTAAAACAAAATATGCAAATTAAAATTAAAAAATATATAATATCCCAATATTTTGATTTTAAAAATAAAATATAATAAATTAAAATATTATCTATTGAACTAATAAAAATATTATTATAAAGTAATTATATTAAAATATTTTTAATATATACCACCTCTTTGATTATATGGAAATATAATATAATTGGATATAAAAATTCAATGAATCAAATCTGCAGGAAACCAACCTCCAACCCAAATTATATAAAAACGGCATATCCCATAATAAATCAGATATAAAATCATTTACTAGCTATCAAAATATATATACTTGTATATGATTTCAAGCACATTCTCTCTCTATCTCCCCCACCCTCCCCCCCTCTCTCAATCACACAAAACACAAATAAACATATAGCTAATCAATCACAAATATGAACATAGTTGAGCAACTAAAACACATAAAATCTGTTCCATTCCCTCACCTCATTTCACTGCAATCAGCTCCCCTCCACTTCCATTCCATATATTTACATGAGCTTGGAGCTATGCAACCTCCCCCACCATTTCTTCTTCGGCGTGCCCGGTTCATCGCTCCCCAGCTTATTAATTATAACTTTGGTTTCTCGTAGCCGAAGGCTGTAATCTTTCCTCCAAGACTCGAACGACAATTTCAACTTCTTCAGCTCCTTCTCTGGATCCAAACTCGCCTGCGCCTGTCCAGACTTCACTTCAACCAGAAACTTTGCATCATCAGCGAAAACCTGCGCTCGCTGTTCGAATTCTTCTGTCAAATGGCTGATGGTTTTGAGGCCCGCCATCACATCTCTGCCTGTCAAGCGAAGTGCGGGTCGAGGACCACTATCGGCCCCATTTTGGTTGCCACTGCTGTCCCAACTCTGCTCGACAGAAGCATCGGACCTTCGCTCCATGTCATCAATGGCGAGGCTTTTCTTTGCGATGGAGAGACTGGATTGTAAGGATCTCATCTGTTTCTGCCACAACTCTTCCATGGATTTCATTTTCTGTTCATATTCCGTCCAGCGATTCTCGTATTGGTGAAGTCGCTGGTGAAGTACTTCGTTCTCCTCTTCCTTCTCCCTGAGATTGACTTCGGCCTTCAGAATCCTCCTTTGCAGCTCGGCAAGAACGGATGCTTTGATTTGTACTTGGCCGGGATCGGATTCCTGTTCAAGTTATAGGCATCTCAGTATTCAGAAACTACATTACAGGATCAAACAACAGCATATGGATGACCAACTTAAAGAAGAGTATGCATAGAACACAGACAGAGACTAAAAGATCAAAACATCAAAAGCCTACATGAGAACTTGAAAGTTTTTTTAAAGTCGAAAAAAAGGGGAGGGGGCATTTACAAACATACCACTCAATTCCTATGTATGGACATATCTAGCATCTAAACTTTACTTTTTGACATGTATATCTCCCAAATCTTTCATATCACAAAAACAAAAACAAAAAAAAAAAATTTACCATCATTTTTACTTTTAAAAAGTAAAATATACTCTCATGAATAGGTACGGTGGCATGTATGTAAAAATTAACATTTGGGTGTCAGATATGCAAAGTACATAAAAATTGTGTGGTATGATCGCAAATCTTCAAAATGAAAAAAAAAAAAATGTTAAAAGATGTTTTATTTCTTCTGCAAATAAACTGAGTGAGTATGTTTGTTGATTTGTTAAAGGCTGCCAGTACCTATAAGGTGTTTTAACATGTTTAGAAACACGAGTAAGGAGATTGATTAATGAGTCCAATTAATGTGATTAAATATTGATTAGAATAATAAGGCATTGAGAAGTTTTATAATGCATTATATTAAAGTTTTATTAGTGTTTAATTGTGGTAATTAAGTTTTGTTGGAACGCCCAAGATTTGTCTGGTGGAAATTAGCCTAATTCTACTTGGCCTTGCTATGATCATAGAATAGAAATAGGGTTTGAAAAGTGAGATTGAACCCGGTTGGATAAAGTTTGGTTAGCCTAATTTATTATTATGTTTGCTAATGATTTTAGGCTAACTCGTGAACTTTATGCTTATCCTGACTTCAGTGGGCGATTAAAAATAACATGAAGGTGCCTAAAATTCAAGTGTATCGATGATCTAGTTTGGTATATTGAGGATCTCAACATTGACTTTGTGAGATACTCTGTGATAATCGAATCTCTAACTTCATGGTTTTGGAGTACTTGGTTTATGACAAGTTGGATATTACAAAAAAAAAAAAATTGAAAAAATATCCCCTCTATACCGATTGCAAGTAAAATCCAGCAGGTCTGGCTTGTATTCGGCCTAGTTGGTCATTTAAACCCTAAGTAAGGATGGAAGGAGTAGGCCGTGCGGGATTTTGAACATGACATAGATACCTTATGCTCCACTGATGGACACTGTCAACAGTATCTTCTTCTGCAACTTTGATGCTGCTTCATGGTTAGTGAACAATACAACAAAGACAATGAGGACACGTGCCATAATAGCCATGCTAAGGACATATTGAATTTTGAATTTTTTTAGCTCCTATCACCCACTTCATGAGTTTACTCAAGATTTTTGGCTCTTGCAAGACTAGTTGAAGGAAAGAAATTGTGAAAACAAAGACTTTCTGAGCTTAAGATACTTGCCAAGGCGACCAACATTTTGCTTATGTAATGAATGGATGATTATTTCCTACGTTCTTCTTAGATAAACTAATGTTAGAATAGTCTATCTCAAAATAAAGGTAGAGATCTTCCCTTAGCTTTGAAATGCTTAGCACCAGTATTGTGACTCTTTTGACTTATTTAGATGATTAATTTTTAGTAGTAGAAATTACGATTAGATTAATTTTTTAGTTCCATTGTATGTTCCTACCTTGATAATTCCAAACCTCAAACTAAGTCGTAACAGTTTCAAGATTAGGTTATAATGAAAAAATGTCATGCAGATATAACTGGATTAACTATGCTACAAAATTGAAATTGTATTAACCATGCTAATGTGAGGTGCAAGTATAAAAAATAAAGATTATATCAAGAGATCTACAAGAAAATTAAGGATAATTGAGAATCATTAAATTAAAGAAATAGTAGCTATAGATAAAGCAGTTAAAAATGCACTGAAGCAAATTGGGTAAATGCAATAGAATATAGATATACTAATAAAATAAATAAAGTTAGTTTGAAAAGTTTAGAAAGGAAATATTAGAATTATTAACCTAATTATTAGGCTAATTACTGTTGCAATTATTGGTAGTTTTTATTTGTTTACTTTATTTTCCGTTTTCATATTTATAAATTTCCTAATTGGTCTTTTTCTGAATCTATGTTGTTTCCAAGTTATCGTAAGTTATGTATTTCCTATTTGTTTCCTCAGGTCAACAACAATCTCAATTCCTCTGCAGACCGGAGGACTGGAAAATCACATGAACTTCCTAATCACTACCCATAAACTAAATGGATCTAATTTTACCCCAAATTATGTACTTTTCGTCAAGGAATGCGAAAAATTCGGCTATCTCACGGAAATGATTCTATGAACCTCCTAAAACCGAGTCGACGTATGAGGCATGAGAAGTAGAGAATTTCATGGTTATGTCGTGGTTAATTAACTCCATAGAGACCGCGATTGGTCGTTCGTATATATTTCTTCCTTCTACAAGTACCATATGGACTGCAGTTCGAGACACCTACTCAGATAAAGTGAAATCCAGCCAAATTTATGAGGTTTCCAAGATCATCCATGAGGCGAAACAGGGATTGAGGACAGCGACCCAATATTACAATGATTTGGTGGCCTTATGAATGGAACATGGTCTCTATTATAACTACACGTGGGAATCACCGGTAGATCGTTCTCTTTTTCAAAAATTATAGAGAAAGATCGTATGTTCCAAATTCTAGCAGACCTTAACAAAGATCTTGATGAAGTACGGGGTTGTATCCTTGGCCGGGATCCCCTTCCTTCCACTCGTGTTGCATTCAAAAAAATTTACGCGAAGAGAGCCCTAGAATTGCCATGCATGAATCTTCCACTTTAGTCGAATCATCCGTTGTAGCCACTAATAGTATTCAACACTCATTAAATCCTCGAGCCACTTGGTCCACCTGTGATTACTGTCACAAACCCAACAATACTCGAGACTAATGTTTGAAACTACATAAGTAACCGACACCTTCAACTAAATCCTCAGCTGCTAAGGGTCTCACTACGACATCTGAATCTACTACAGTTCAACCTGCCTCCATTCTGACCCCAGAATCATCCGCCTCTCTTAAAAGTTAGATGAAGCAATTAATAAAACTACGTGGATCCAGTCTCCCTTACGGTCCATCGACCTCCCACGTTCGTGAAGGTACCAATCCTATGGCTCTCACTTATTTTGTCTCATCCAGTTCATAGACCACATGACTAGATGCTCTCAAGCTTTCTCAAACATATTATACATGCTCTGGAAAAGATACAGCTAAAATTGTTGATGGCTCTTGCAACGTTATTGCTGGTAAAGAGTCGGATGCATTAACAACCGGTCTAACCCTGGAATCTATGTTGCATGGTCCCCTGTTGAAATGAACATGTTATATGTTACTAAGCTGACACATGAATTGGATTGCATTGCACATTTTCCTCCTGATGTTTGTCTTTCAAGACCGTCATTCGAAAAGGATGGTTGGAACTGTTAAGCTATTAACGAGGCTCTACTTCTAAGAGAAATGCACGACGAACGAGAATACTTCTCCCAATAGTTGCAGTCTTTCTCGATCCACTGAATGTCCTATTCAGTTGTTGCATTATCGTTTGGTCATCCCAATTTTCAATATCTAAAACATTGTATCCATTGATGTTTCTTAATAAAAAATTTACTAGTTTCAAGTGTGAGATTTGTCAATTAGCTAAACATCATCGCGTTCCTTATCCATCTCATCCTTACACGCCTTCTGCCCTCCTCTCTTATTCACAGTGACTTGCAGGAACCCTCTCACATTCCCAACTACACCAATAAACGGTGATTACTTACCTTAATTGATGATTACACTCGAATGACATGAGTCTATATCTTAAAAGAGAAGTCATAAGCTGTTGCCATTATCAAAACTTTTGCTCCTTCATTTTGACCCAATTCAAAGCTTCAATGCAAGTCCTTTGAATCGAAGATGGTCGTAATTTTTTTAATTTTATTTTAGGTGAGTTCTTGGTAAGGGTATCCTCCATCATAGCTCATGTACGGATACTCTTCAATAAAATGGAGTAGCCGAGAGAAAAAATCGACAACTTCTCAAAATAGCTTGATCCATTACGTTTCAATTTAATGTCCTTAAATAATTTTGGAAGGATTTCATGCATACAACCACCTATCTCATCAATAAAATTCCCAAAATAATCATAACTTTAGAAAGTCATTAGTCTTCTTGATGTCATGTTTCCCTACTAATCAGTTTTTCACCACTCTTGAACCCAAAATTTTTTAGTACGCGACCTTTGTTCGGAACATACCCCTAATCGTAGTAGGGCTTGATCTCTGCTCTATAAAACATGTTTTCCTCGAAAATTCTGCCACTTAAAAATGCTATCAGCGTCTAAATCCTTCCACACAAACTCTATGTCAATGTCGAAGTCTCCTTCTTTGAAAGTGTTCCCTACTTCCTTGTCACTGCCTCAAGTGAGAGAGAGAGAGAGAGCTTGATTTCTTGGACATTGTTCCTTCTCTGACCACTATGGATATTTCTCCAACCACTATATCTAAGGAGCTCTCTGTCCCTATAAATCTATTACGTACCAAACAATCAGAACCTCCTCTCATTCTCTGTGTTTATACTCAACACACTGATGTTCCAACTCTGGAGCCCTCACTATCTCTTTACAAGATCTGGAATCCACTTCAAATGATATCCCTAGAATTGACACCACTCCAAATGAGGAGAGTTCTCCTATTGAGGTATGTAATCAAGCAAACTCTCTTTATTCCATGAAAAAAAATATCTCTTTCCACAGAGTATTGCCAACCTATAAAGTGTTTGATGCTGCCCTGACAAATCATCACCTCCCATCCACTATTGAGGCAGCATTAGCTGACCCTTTTATTGGAAAGTAGCAATAATGGATGAAATGAATGTCCTTCAACAGAATCATACATGGGATGTTGTGGATCTTCCTCTAGGTAAGAAAGCAGTTGACTGTCGCTGGATTTCTAGCACCAAGTTTAACTTCGATGGATCTTTTAAATGCAACAAGGTACGGTTAGTTGTCAAAGGTACTCACCAACATATGAAGTTGATTATGAGAAGACATTTGCTACCATTGCTAAATTAAACACCATTCGGTTCCTACTTTCCCTTGCCGTGAATTTGGGTTAGCCTTTGCTTCAACTAGATGTCAAAAATGCTTTCCTAAATGGGGATCTCACAGAGGAGTTGTGCATGTGCATCCCTCCAAGCTGTGGCTCTGTTGTTCCTTGAGGACAAGTGTGACGGCTACAAAAGTTCCTCTACAGACTGAGTCAATCCCCAAGAGCCTAGTTTGACAAGTTCACAAAGGTGGTAATGGGTCATAGTTTTTATCAGGCCAAAATCAGATCATACACACTTCTTTCGACATTTCACCAGTGGCAAAATTGTTATCATTATCGTCCATGTCGACGATATGGTGCTCACAGTTGATGATCTTCCAGGATTGGAGTCTCTTAAAGATATTCTTGTTACTTCATTTGAAATGAAGGACTCAAAGTCATCTGATACTTCTTAGGCATGGAAGTTTCTCAGTCATCTCGGGGCATTTGTCCTCAACGCAAATATATGCTTGATCTATTGATAGAGAATAACCTTCTCCTTTGCAAACAAGTGGCAGTCACAATTGATCCTAATGAAAAATTAGCTAATGTTCTCAATACAGTTCCGGAGAACAAGACTCACTACCAGCAGCTTGTGAGGAAACTTATTTACCTCGCTCATATTAGCCCTGATATTTGTGATACACTAGGTATTGTGAGTCAATTCATGCATGAACCCTATGAGCATAATCTTCGAGTTGTCCACAGGATCGTTCACTGCTTAAAAGGCACATCGGGCTCAGGTTTATTTTTCTCGAGCCACAACTCTCGTTCTAATGCTATTTATACAGATGCAGATTGGGTCAGGTCTACGATTGGAAATCCACCTCAGGATATTCATCATTAGTGTGGGGAAATCTTGTCGCGTGGAAAAGCAAAAAATTGTCGGTTGTGACTCGGAGCAGTGTTGAAGCCGAGTTTCACTCCATGTCACTGGGTATCTGCGAAGCTCTCAGATTACGCAGCATGCTCCATAAATTGCGTATGTCAGTCTCTACTCCTCTCCAGTTGTTCTGTGATAATAAAGTCGTCATTAGTATTGCCCATAAGCAGGTCTAGCATGATCGGACCAAGCATGTGGAGATTGACAGACACTTCATTAAGAAAGAGCTCGATTAATGAGAGATTTGTATTTCATTTGTCTCATCCAATGGTCAATTAGCAGACATTTTTAACCAGAATCGTCCTTAGCCATTGTTTAACAACTTCAAATCCAAGTTGAACATGATAAACATCTATGCTTTAACTTAAAGGGGGTAATAGAATTATAGGGCTAATCACTGTTGTAATTATTATTAGCTTTTATTTGCTTCCTTTATTTACTGTTTTCATATTTATGTATTTCTTAGTTGGTCTATTTTTGAATTTATGTCTATCATTTTATTTTGATCCTGTAATATGTATTTAAACTCCTCTTTCTATTAATAAAAGTATGTTGCGCTATTCTCAAATCTAATAGAAAAATTATAGAAAAGCGATATCAAGCCGAGGTGCAAAAAAAATGAAAAATAAACATGAACAGATGAAGGATGATGATGAATAAAGCCAGTGCTTAGTAGTTGGGATAAGAAAAATAATGACCACGAATAAAAAAAGAGTAGATTAAGGGAAACTTCCACACTTCATGCATATGTTGTGCAAAAATTATAAATAAGAATTTAAAGTACATTGTGTATTACCCTTGTTACATCAAATGGCCCAGCGGAATAGGATAAACTGTCTCCAGAGCACCTTCTTGCAAGTCGTGCACGAATAACTAAGAAAAAAAATTAAATCGTAAGATGATTAAGAACTATCTCCAACTGTACTTGTTTTTTAATAAATTAGAGCAAGTAATTGAGAGCGTTACCAGACTGTATAACAAGTGTGGCATTACGAATGTTCATATAATGTTTCCTGGTAATTTGGCATTTTACATGTTTCTGTAAAACAATAGCAGCTCTGTGTTTTTGTACAAGGTCTGAAAATATTCGCCTTGTCTTTTCACCTCGAATAACTGCTCATGTAAGAAAATTGATAACAAGGAAATAATTTAAGAGTTGTTCATAGCATTAGATGCCTGATAAGCCTCAAATAACTACTCTATCTCAAGAAAGAAAAAATCAATCAAATAAATTTGGCAGACATCAGCTTACATGACTGCATAAAGATAATTCCATTCCTACGTTTCTTCACATAGAGACGAGCTTGATGGCCTCTGAAACAACTCTGAACCCTTAAAATGCCATGAAGAGAACGATTTCTGGTATCCTCAAGCGAACCGATCTGAAGAATTTCAACAATTTAATTGAATAAAGAAAATAGTTGATAACTTCTATCAAAAAATTTGGATTTGTTACTTTATTTGAAGCAAACCACAAGCACAAAGATAAAACATAAAAATGTACTTAACCCAAATAATTTCTCATCCGACATATCAGTTACAACATGATTCAAGAAATTTAAGAGTAAGAAAAAATAAAAGAAAAAGCATAGCCAATCTCCATAGCAAGAGGAACTGTATCAATCTGAGTCTGTATTTAATAAGTTTAAAAATTTAATAAAATGTTACCTTATACAAATAAATGTTTATGCATCAAAGGCTTAAAATCACCTGTCCTGTACGAAAAAACAATTTGGTGTAGCCAACTTGATACATTTCAGGAAGAATATTAAATTGATGAAGAATCGCTACTGACACACTGAGAGGATCTTGAGAAGCAACATTTTCCAGAAGAAGGAAACCATATCTGAGAGATTAAACAAGAATAGCACATGCAAATAGAAATAAAAAAAAATTAATTTCATATCAATAACAGCAACTGTAAAATTAAATACTCTAAGATCATGAAAAGAGTAAAATTCATTGCAAATGAAAAGAGTATAAGAAGATACACAATAAGAAAATAAATACTTCACCTTCTCGCAAATTTTTGGTGAGACATCCTCGTAGGATAACCAGACCTGGATATACGAACAACTTCAAGGACTCCACAGCACTTCAACTGCTGAAGTATAAGACCTTGTTCATAAGTCGAAGGAAGTTGCAAGTTGTTTGGCTTGATGCAGCGTATAAAGTGAGGGGTAGTGCTCTCAAGCCTTTGCATTAGTTGAAAAAGTTGCCCCTAATCAAGTCAAGGTAAATTCATAAAAAGGAGCGGTTGACTTTTAATCCAGACGACAAAGTACAATAAAATACTCATATGCATATAATTTAAGGAAATTAAAAATTAAAGCAACAAAGTACTAAAACAAAAATAAATTCATGATATACAAAATATCCAACATAGAGAATTTCAAATGTAACTATACATGGTGAATCCATTGGTAATAATAGAATTGGAATCCAGGTGGAAAATGAAACAAAAGCCTAAATCACAGCAATAAAATTAGACAAGTTTCAATGATTTCACATGCAAATTATTGGGGAAAAGAAAAAGAAAACTAATAAGCACCTGGAATGTGGCAACCATAAGTCAAATTTTATATAGACATTAAGCGTTAAAAAATATTGCAACATGGACGCCATCTAACAAGTTTGTATTGACAAATAAATGATTTTTGAAGCTGATATATCCACAATTCACATGAAAATTGAAGTTCACATAAGGTGTAAGGCTCCAAAGCTAAAGATCAACTTGGATTTTTAGACTCCCTATAAGTACTACAAGAGAATGGTTTTGGTCTTATCAGTAATTTTAAACATTATGAAATTTTTAATCAGCATGTAAGGCATAATACCTTGAATTTCGTCGCAACACTCTGCCTTTGGGAATCCACAACACTAGAACGATAGGGACTGCCTTCTTGTAAATCAGATTGGGTAAGCATTCTTGATGCAAATATTTGAGGAAGATGACATGAACAAGAAGCCAGAAGTTGAATAGAGTCAATGTGTAGTAGATCCCTATTCTTTTCGAGAAAACCAGTTGTGTCATATGCTACCTGATCAGAAAGAAACACAGTAACTGTAAACCGTATGGAAGAAGAATATGATGCAAAGGTGAATTCAGATTTACAGAAGGTCCTAATAACAACCTCTCCTGCATAATGCCTAACAGTGAAAGCTTTGCCTCTTTCTCCCGTGAAGCAAGAATTTGAATGAAGATGCTGTTTGAGCTTGTTTGCAAATGTCAGATCTGTACCATTTGGAAATGTAGATTCCTCATCCAAAAGAGACAATAAACCTAATGGTTTCTGCATGAAGGCAGAAATAAATCTTCAGATAATCCCTAGAAATATGATAGGGTAGCACAAATAACACAATACAAAATTTATGAATGATAAGATCCGTAACCAAAAAACAAAAACAAAACACAAAAAAAAAAACAACAAAAGAAAACAGAAGTGATGCCCTCAAATGCCTACTTTAAAGAGTTTAGGTGCTTTGTTTATGTCATTAATTTGTAGGTGCTTTGTTTATGTCAAATATATCATATCTTTCGTCTTATTTATTATGGAAGAATCATAATTTTTTTAATCATTGACCTACTACCAAAAAATCAACATGCAATCTCATCTATCAAAATGTAAATATTCTAGCTTACTAAATTATTCAACCATTTCATTTTATTAAGTTCTATTAGTCAAAATTTTGTCCTTATTCATTGATATTTTAGTTCTCAGTGGCTGATGCGTCATTTATTAGGACATAGAACTTTGAGGTCGTTTTTTGATTTGCTGTGAATGGACGTTCCACTTATGGGCCTTCTATTATAATACAATAATCAGAAGTTATAATGAGCAATGTTCATTATACTTGCTTGAATGGACATATGTCTAAAACTGCCTTTAGGACATTGATCTGCTGACAAATCTTAGGCAACCACACGTCTGCAAATTCAAAATGCCACCAAAAAATTTTGAATCATCTTCACGACCATTCTAAAATCCCTCAACAATCTCCTAATTTACATTAAATTCCAAATTCAAACATAAATTACACTTCAATATAACCGTCACGCTTAATCATGTTTTTATTTAAAAAAACTTAAATCCAACCTAAGCTAATTGTATCCCTTCCCATCATTCCAAAGAACAATCATCCCCTCTCCCTCTTGCATGGAATCAAGGATCATCTATAAATGTTCTACAATTGGTCCGTTAATTTAAATAAACAAAGTTGCTCATTACCCAAATAGCTCCCACGCGAAAACAGTTCGGTTCAACCATATCAAATGCTATAACTTAACCCAACCCAATTGAACCAAACTCAATGAATCAACTAACAATAATAAATCATAAATAATCGTACAATATTTTCCACGGGAGAGGAATTATTGCTTGGGAACAAATTGCGGATGTTCTATACCATTGAGCTATTGAAATTCATCTAACAGAAAATTCATCTTAAACGGTAGAAATGAAGCGAACATAACCGAGAAAGAGTTGAATATAGAAAATTCATCTCAAGCAATAGAAGACAGGCAGCTGGGCCTCACCATAGATCCTTTTGAATGCGATCAACTAGCTTCTGAAGAATTTATTTGAAGCTGTGGTGATCTTCATGCATACTCATAGGATGAGCTTCATTGACTATATATAATATTGATTCACAAAATCTTTCTTTTACAGTATGATAGCATTCAAAAGGATCTAAAGCCAACTAATAAAATTAGACTAACCCAATCAACGTAATCCTAATCGGCCAATAAAATCAAGTCTGATCAATCTAACCATTCCAATCCAATTAGCTTCATCTAATGCAACATTAGGCTCAAATACTATAAAAAGAAAAACTTTAGTGAATCAATATTATAACCAATTAAGCTCATCCTATGAGTATGCATGAATATCACCACTGCTTCAAATAAATTCTTTCAAAAGCTAGTTGATAGCATTCAAAAGGATCTATGGCGAGGACCAGCTGCTTGTCTTCTATTGCTTGAGTGAATTTTCCATATTCACCTCTTTCTCAATTATTTTCACTTCATTTCTACCCTTCAAGATGAATTTTCCATTAGATGAATTTCAATAGCTCAATGTTATAAAACATCCCCAATTTGTTCTCAAGCAATACTTCCTCTCCCATGGAAAATAATGTACAATTATTTATGATTTATTAAAACAATGCTTCATTACTATATGTAATGTAAAGAGTTGTATAGCTTCGTTATAAAATTTGATCCCGTTTATGGATGGTGATGATTCCTCTAACTCTAGCACGGAATTCAAAATCTTTCTCACTGAACCTTTACTCTCTAAGTTCTCCTCAATTACCAGTCATTCAGCTCGCTCTCAATCAAAAGGTATCGTGTAGGCATTTGCTCTTAAAAAAGCTGTCAGCGCTGAAGAACTAATGCTACAAATGCATTATGCCTAACTGCATAAAAAACAAATCATCTTGAAATCCAATTTTAAAATGTGCTTAAAAAAAATGAATGAAGAAAGGGGCAGAATTTCAGGAAATAATGAGAACACTAAGCATATAAGAAAATGTGTTTTTTTAAGTAGTTGAGGTAATGTAGTAGTTAGTCAAGCTGAGGTTCTGTATCAAGAGATTAGAGCCAATTAGTAGTCCAATAACAGCAACAAAATTTACACTTTATTTAACAAGAAGATGTTGGCTTTAAAATAATCCTGAAGACAAAATGCAAGCCACACCGCTGATGACAGCTGAATGGACGCTTGGGGAAATTTCAAAAACGAGCTTAGTTTTTCAATAAGAATACAAAGAGGCTTTAGCAGAACATAGAATGACCACAGACATGCAATGTCATACCTTCTCAAAAAGTTTCAAACAATCCTGATTGTCCTCGAAGTCAACCTTTGCCCAATCTATGCCATCTTGGATATATTCCTAAAAAAACAGCACAATCATATATGAGTTTGACTATCTGCTTAAAATTTGTGATGTACTTCAAACGAAGTGGTTAAGTAGTAGTCAAAGGTGCTCTAGCTCTTAAAAAAGAAACAATAGCTGAAACTAAGCCAGTAAAAAAATAAAAATGAGGTTATTTCACAACAAAAAGTAATAACAAGAGTACCAAAAAAATAGATTAGCACAATTTTTTGGTTAAATAAACCATGTAATGAAGAATGAATCATCTTCCATGAAAGAAAAGAATCAAATAAAGTGACATGCACTGGAGCTTATTTAACCTCAGAGAACATCAAGTACATACAGAAACAAGAATTGCTAAATACTGATTCATTTGTTTGAAATACAATAAAAAGTAATTCTTTCAGGCCCATCTTAAATCAAACTAATGTTATTATGAAGCTTAAAAGCACAGAAAACATCCTTAAACTGACAATTTTTACAGAGAATTACAAAATTTTCAAGAGAAATGAAAGTACATGCAATAGTAACGCTATTAAAAATGTCAAAAATTATACCTCCTGTTCTAGTTTGAATAAATGACGATTAAAATGTTGCTGCAGTCTCTCATTAGCATAGTTTATGCAGAACTGTTCAAAGCTATTTCTCTGCAAAATAATAAATGTTGTTGATAGGATGCTTTTCAAAAATATGAAAGGATAATATTCTACTTACTTCAAAAGATTCAAAACCATATATATCAAGAATACTGATTGATCTTCCAGTTCGCCGCTTTCCTACTTCAAGTGACAAGTTAATTTGTTCCACAAGCCATTCAAACAAACTAGCATACAGCGACTTTGCCAGTGCATCTCTCGTGTCAATTGCCTAAAAGAATAAAGCAAACAAATATTACGCTACATCAAAAGGCAGGTAAGAGATAGTTACTTAATGGAAAGAAAGTAACCTGAGTCAATGTGAGTTTTTGGACAATAGTATCATTTCGAACTTTCATTTTACGAGTACATAAAGCCAGCATCAAATGCTGAATATCACAACCAAGTAATTTGGATACAGTTTGCACAGCTGAGAAATGACAACAGAATTAACAAAAGACGCATACAGTGCTAATAGCTCTTTAAATTTATGCATGAAACAATGGTAGTAACCAAAAAGAAAGAAATCTCATGTTCCGAAGAAAAGCTTTTCACAACATAAATTTCTGTTAAGTAACAAACTTCTAAGAAATCCATTTCATCAGCACGCAATACTGTTTCCAATTTGCAATATATCAGATTTCATCAAAATCAAATCAAAGAATCTTCGTCTTTCAGCATCAAATCCAATTCAACCTCGTTATGATAAAAATAAAATAAAAAAAAGATCAAAACTGACAACAGTATGCACGTTAAAGGACTCAACACACAATTATAGAAAGTTGCAAGTGAGAAAAGATGTTGACATTTTAAGAAAAAAAAGCCATTATTAAAGAATATTTATAGTTTACCAAAGAAGTTGATAATTGTCTGAAAGATGACGTTAAAGAAGTAACAATTGCAAGCTCCCACATTTAATAGTCAACAGACATGACACATTGTTATCCAAGAAGCAGAAACTAGGCTCTTATCTTATTTGATTTTATTAGAGCAAAATATACCGATATAAATTGATGAGATTCAAGCGTTACTTTCAATTCCATCTCATACATCAAATAAAATCTTTAGAACCATGAGTGTTGACACATTTTTTGGCCTTCAATACAAGGCAAGTGCCACCATCAAGGCTCTAGAGAATTGCTTTGGGTCTCTAAGTTGGGATGCAAAGCATTTCCCCAATATTTATCTCTCAAATTTAAAGAGTAATATCTGCAGCTGCTCATTTTTGTAATGCCGTGGCAATGATGTGAACTTCAAAAAACAAGTAATCAATTTGAAATTTAAAAGTATGAAACAGATAATTGAATCCGAATAAAAATTTCTTTATGTAATGGTAAATAGTATATGGATCAGAAATTAAGTAGTATAGGAAAGTGAATCTAAACATACATTGAATAACATATGCCCTGCTATTGATAATGATTGTTTAATTAACCTTGAACAACATTTTGAAACATAAAAAAAATATTATCAACCCTTGGTGAATAGTGAAAAACCATGTGCCTCAAAATCATCATCCTAACTTGGCCACATTTGGCATTTCAATCAATGTCATGTTTTGATTTAAAATAAAATAAATTTGGTATGACATAACATGTTTAGTTTTTTTAAAAATACCCAAAACAATTTTTATTTATTTCGAGTCTTTTAAAAAAAAGAGCTAATTTATTTTTGAAAAATAAAAAATAAAATCATGCAAAAAAGTGCACCGAACAAACATGTATTAAAATAAAGGCAAAAATAAAAACAAAACAAAAAAACAAAAAAAACAAAAAAGAAACAAAAAATTATCCTAAAAACAAACAACAGAATTGGACTTCTCTCTATTTATCTTTAAGAAAACTCACCTTCATCTGCAACAACTGCGGCGTGGTTCTCATTGTCAATCACAGTAAAAGAGACATTACCCAACCATAGAATTGCAGCAAGCATCGCATAGACATTATCTTGGTCTTGCTGTCGGATGTGGACAACCTTCATAGCTGCCTGGAGTAAAACTAATTTTTATTAAATTTTGTGGGCTTGACCTATGGCAATTTTTCTGGATTAAAAGATTGGTTCAGGAAGCACAAGTTAAAAACAGTTTTACGATACCATAACAGAATGAAACCTTTCAGCATCATTGACTTCATTAATTACAAAACAGCCGCTTTGCTTCAGATATTTGTACTCTTCCACGCATCTCAAATTCAGCTTCTCTGTTTACAAAGGGTCAAAATGTCCACAGATTTAGCATGAAAAGAGCAGTCAAAATTAATTTGGAGGGAAAATACAAAATGCCAAGGTATGGCTCACAATTGATGCAATAAGCAAACATGAAAAAACACAGTTTCAAAGTGCAATATAACTTCATAAATCACTGTAAAAATAAACAAAAGAAATGAAGTAGTCAAAAACCTCCCAAAAGATGAAATACATGTCATGCAGGAGAGAAACATCGTAATTCCAAAATTTAATTAACAAAATTGCTGCAGTGTTCCAGTACCATCAACTAGACATCGCTAAGTATTTTAATTCGAAAAAACAAGCAAGAAAGGTCAATTAATCCCATAAGCCAATGCTAAATTGGGTCTATAAATCTTAACTCCTCTACTAGACACTAGAAATCTAATCAGTTCAACATGATCAATCCAAAGAGTCCAACCCCTAGGTAAGACATGAGTGTCCAGTTCAGTCCCAAATTTGAGGTGAAAATTATCTTGGAGTAAATACACCAGTACTGGCTCTAATCCATGGTCCTAAGTTTTCGAGTTGAAAAAGGATTTGACAGAAGGGTTATCAGGCTTAATTACCATAGTTATTGTCTAGTTCTTGGATAAAGAAAGATACAATAACGTCTCCAGAATTCCACCATTTGAGCCTATTTATATCCCCAAATATATATTTTATACTCGCCATAGGCTTTGAGCCTTTTTTCTACTTCCAAACATTCAGTTCTCTCTTGCTCTCAAATTCCAGAAGGTATTCTCAATGGCAGGCAACCACATCAATGGAGAAATTTTATTTTCCTAGCAAATGAAACATCTGATTAGGGTTATAATTGAACCAATGCACTTGATGAACAACTCAAATTCAGCTCGATTAATACTCGATCATGTTTGTTCAAATAAGTAAATAAACAAGTTTGAACATTTTTTAAAACTCCAAGACTAACCAAATTTGAACATAGTCCAACTAGCTTGTTAATGTTCATGAACTTGTTAAATATTCTATACTTATATAATATGTTTTTAAATAAAATTTGATTAATAACTATGCATATAAATTTAAAGCAAGTTTTTCTTATTTTTTTAGTTAAATAAAATAATTTGTTAAACCTATTTATGTTATTTGATTGTAATAAAGCTTACTTATAACTTATATATCATTATATTTACTTGGTATAAATTATTTAGAAGCTAATTTGAAATTTATTCAATTGCTTATTTGTTTAGATTTGTAAAATCATTTGTTGATAATTTTATATAAAAATCAAACCCTCAATTGACTTTTTAGTGTAATTACTAGCGAAAAACTAAATACAAATCGAATTTTTAACTTTATATGAAAAGCCAAATACTCATTTGAATTCTTACTTTGTTCAATTAATATAGACAAATCAAGTATGATCATTAAACAATTTAAGCAAGCCAAGTATGAGCATATATTTGAAAGCTCCTCGGCTCAAGCTTTAAATGAACATTAACAACTTATCATTCAACAAAGCTTAGTCCAATCCAGGACATAATCGACTTGACTCGGCTTGATTATAGCCCTACATCTAAATATCATTTAGAGGAGGACTAAAATAGCCATGATTGGTACAGTGAGCTAACATATGAACAATCCAAATAAAAATCATTTAGAAGTGGTCATTCAAATCCTGAGGTACCTAAAAATAACTCCAGAATGTGGATTGATATTCAAGAAAATTGGGAACCGTAATACTGATATTGATAGGCAGGAGAACTCGCTAACAGAAGATTTACCACGAGTTACTATTCATTTTTATGGGGTAACCTAATTATTAGGAGAGGTGAAAAAACAAGTTGTGGTGGCCAAAAGTAGCCTCAAATCTTAGTATCATGTCCTGACCCGAGAAATTTATGAAGGGATGTGGCTAAAGAAATTACTAGTGAAACTTCACATGGAAAACTAAAGCATTATTAAGATATTTAGTGAATTCAATCAGCCATCAGTATTTCAAAGAATCTGAAACACCATGATCCATTCAAATATATAAAGATTGACAGACACTTCATCTCTGCGAATATCAATAAACGGGTTGTTCAGCTAAGCTATATCCCAACTCAGTATCAATTATTGACATTCTTATCAAGACTCGTCCTAGGTACTATTTTAGTGATCTCAGCAGCAATTCTGGAATGTATCACATATACAACCAAACTTGAGGGGGTATTGATATGGACACGGTTTAAAAAATTGTGGGTCTTCTGATACATTTAAGGGGAGAAATTATTTTCCCTTAATTCTCCATTATTGTGATTTATTTCATTCATTTTATCATGATAATTTGAATTTCCCTCTAATTGTAAAAGAGGGTTGGTCTAAGTTGTATACATATTAATTATTTGTTTAATGAGAAATAAGTTAGTTTTTTTCTCCTAAATTCTACATTCTCTGTAATTAAACAACCCTTAATCATGATATCAAAACACAAATTGTAATGTCACGCTTTTATTAACCAGGGGCAAGAAAATGAGAAAACCGAAAGAGAAGAAGAATCGAACAGTCGGAAAGCCTAAGACGGGGAGGTGAAGCGAGAGGGCCAGGAGGCTGAAGAGATACTTTCGAATATAAGTCCACGCATAGGGGCAGTAGATGCGAGAAATGACTTACTTGGAGAGTTAATCGTCACGTGTGAAGACCGACAAGCACATGCTAGGATTTCCCTAAAGTGCAAGGTGGTTACATCAACAGAAGACGTCTTCGATCATCGAACAAAGGATGAAGTAGAAGATGAAGGAAGTCGAGCAGCAACGTGTAATCTTTGGGGAGGCCACATCGTCAACTCAAAGGAGCTCGATTGCTTTGTGCGTGTACATGTGAGGAAAACGACTGTTGTGAAGGCCTCAATAGGCAAACTCATTGCTCATTTGACTGCTAGAATAGCGTGAAGATAGAGGCAGAAAGACGATGTATGAATCTGTGCCTGTAAAGAGTGAAGCCGAGCATCCCACGCATAAGAGCATACTTGTGTGCATGAGAGGAATTTTCGATCGTAATTAAGGGTAAGTTATTTAATAAATATAATATACATCATAAATATAAATTTTTTCTTTAAATATTAAACTTAAGTACATTTGATTCAGGTACTAGAGAAAAGTTCTAATTTTAATTTTAAGTGTATTTCTGTATAAATTAATAGTATTTTATATTAATTTTGATTACAAAAATTAAACTTAAAAGTTTAAAGTATTGAAATTCTAAAATAGTGTGATACAATAATAAATCATAATTAAATTAAAACACAAATAACATAATATTTGAATATTTTATATTTTATAGATGATAATTTTATAAAAGTAACGCAAACTATGAGCAAGCAGATCAACTATCTTCAAGGTGAGTACTTATGTTTTTATACTATGGTAATATTTTTGCTTTTTATAGGCTAAATACATTTACTCTTACCGTCGCTAGTTATATTAAAATCACTGCAAACTTATGATTTATGATTCTGCATGGCAATTTTTTAAAATTATAATATATATTAAATATTATACAAGCATATTGACTGCTATACAAATGAGAATGAAATAATCATTATTAAATAATGATTTCCATAGTATTGTATGTGCATGTTTGGCTATAATGAAGTTACCTCTTTATGGTACTAGTGTGGAAACACTAAAGTATCCATACATGTATATGAAAAAGAAAATTGGTATTAAAGTAACTTAGGTGGTACAATTTTTAGATGATGTTTCTCTGACTATTGTACAGATATATAATGATATATATATGTTATTGATATTGTAAGATTTATTGATTCAAATATTTACATTGATTTATTAAAAACTTAAGTGACATGTATATTATTTTCTTTTCTCTTGTATTATTGTATTTTAGGAGTATAGTATTCAATGGTTTGTTTAGCACATTATTATTTTTAAAGAAAATTTTTAAGTTAATTAAGTAATTAAAAGCTTAACGATATAATGAAAAATGTTTATAGAAAACGCGGACAACCATTAGCAATGTAAATTTAAATATAATAATTTAATCTAATTTGATTAATAACTCTTTCATTTGTTAAATTATAAAATAATATAATACTTATGTTTGACTATCTATTCTCGCCTTAATTAATTTCAAGCCCCAGATCGGGTCATGACCAAAATAGTATCAAAGTTAAGACTTAGGATTAATTAATAAAAACTTGATGAAAATTATTACGCCAAAAAAATTTTAATAACAAAAAAATTTAAAATTAACTTAAATTAATAATTATATCCATTCAAGCATAATATTACACCCAAAATTATAAAAAAAGGGAGTCCGACAAAAAATGTATGGATAGTTCATGTTGATCTGTTTAAAAAAAATGACTTAGAGATTTGTTTATAAATTTCGAGGACAAAATTTTTATAAGTAGGGAAGATTGTAAAATCATTTTTTTTTTTAAAACTGGGGGAGAAGAAACGAGGAAATCAAAAGAGAAAAAAAAGAATTGAACTGTTGGGAAGCCAAAGAGGGGGAGGTAAAGCAAGAGGGTCGGGAAGTCAAACAGATACTTCTGTGTATAAATCATTTGAAATGACTTACTTGGAGAGTTGATTGGCGCATGCGAAGACTGACTAGCGCGGGCTAGGGTTTCCCTATAGCCAAAGGCGGTGACATCGACAGACGACATCTTCGATCGTTCAACAGAGGATGAAGAAAAGCCGAGCAACATGTAATCTTTGGGGAGGCTTTATCGTCAACAAAGTGGAGCTTGATTCCTCTGTGTACGTACAAGGAAGAAAGACGACTGTAGTGAAGGCCTCAATAGGAGAACCCATTGCTCATTTTACGGCTAGAATAGCATGGAGGGGGCATAAAGGCAATGCAAGAATCTCTGCTTGTAAGGAGCGAAGCCAAGCATCCCACGCATAAGAGAAGACTTGCATGAGTGAGGGATTTTCAACCATAATTAAAGGTAAGTAATTTACTTTATTTAATAAATAATATATAAATTATAAAGATTAGTTTATTT